CCAACTTGTTTTAATAATAAAAGGAATCGTTATTATTAGAGGTTACGGATTTCGAGTACTAACTATTGAGATAAGGTGATTGAATGATTATTATCAAATAATTAAAAATATTTAAAATAGATATTATTTTATAATCACCTTATATATTAATGTATAACTTTATAATCACTTTATAGAAAGCTCAAAGTCCAAGACTGCATCGTTTTGTCCTTACCACAAAGCCCCAGGATCCACCTCCAAATTTTCATTAAAAACGCGTAATCAAAGAAAAGACGATTTCTTGATTCACCTTCCACCCAACAGAGGGCACATTTATCGTCTAACAACAATCTTATCTTCAACAATTTGTCCTTTGCGGCCAGCCGATTGAGGACGGCAAGCCAGGTGATCATCGTGTGCTTCGGAATGTTTAGTGGAGACCAAACAAGCTTATGCCAGCAGACTTTCTCTCCCTTCTACCGATTTCCAACCAAAGCTCTTTAGTGCTTGCTGTCGCACTTCTGCTCATCAGTGCTCCCAAATGACAAATCCCTTGCCTTAGCTAAAAAAGTTTTCTATGGAACCAATTATCATTGCCCTTAATTTTAAGATTCCAGAAATCATCAACTTAATCACGTAGGCTTTTACTCTCTGTGACCCAAAAGAAACCATCATTTGTGAGGAGACATCAAATCAATTGAATAAAACAAACTTTATTCCAGCAAAGCAGGTTTTTCAATCTCAACCCACCTTTAGATTTTGGAGAACAGACCTGAGACCAGCAGACCTTGGTCCCCGACGCAGGGATGTCCTAACCCTTCCAAAGGAACCGAGAGCGGAGCTGATCAATTCTCTTCACCACCCCTTCGAAAGCACGAGTTGTCTACACCAAAAATTCACAATACCAAATAACACCGAGCGCACCAAGTAGAGTCTTCCAGCAAAGCTCAAGTTCTTACTCGACTAATGCTCCAGTCTGGACCTAACACTATTAGTCAACACCTGACAATCTTTCTCAGTCAATTTCCTAGTTACAAGCGGCACACCCAAATAGCGAATGACAAAATACCAACCTTAAAACCAGAAAAAGAGCCAATATAATGATGTAGGATCATGCAAATGTAAGGTTCTTGATTCGAGCCTACTTAAATATGAGCCAATGTGTAGACTTGGACAGCTTGAATTGTTAGACTTTACATAAAAGACCCAATTGCTTCTCTTTTCTATTTTTATTTTACATTTATTACACATTATTTTACATTTTATTTTATTTTTATCGTTCAACATTGAAATAAAATGAATGCAAAAGAATATCTTCATCTGTGTATGTAGTATATGCTTTGTATTTGGTCGTATTCCCCGTAAGGTGTCCAGTTGAGATAACTAAAACTGCCAGTCTTTGCTACAAATTACGATTACGTATGTACCGACAAGCCAGTTATGGGTTTCTATGAGTGACCCAACCCAATGATACGTGTTTTTTATAATGAGAAACACCAAAGAAAACCATACTCTACATAAGAACAACACTATTTTTTTAGAGATTTTTTCCTGTTGATATAAGGTTAAAATTTCCCCTTAACATTTAATAAAATAATCCTTTTGATTTTTACTCTTTTTTAGAGTACTTTACCCTTAAATGTTTCATTTTGAGATAAAATGTCTCTTAATTGTATGAGAACTTTTAATTGATTAATGGTATCAACGCTCGACATAATAAATTTTGTGTCTAAAGCAATGATGTAGTATGTTTTATGCAGTGACGGATCTACAAATTAAAAAATGGGGTCAAAAAATTTAATGTTTTATTCTAAAAAATTTGGGTATGTAAATTTTTTTTCTATTTTCATTAACAAATTAAACTAAATTTAACATTTTCTCAAATAATGGGTGTGCAGTGTTTCCCTTAGGTAGCCACATATATCCACCCCTGATTTTATGTCTCACATCATTACTTTGGACATGTGACCATGACACTCCATTGTTTTGGACATATAAGACTTGTAACGTATGCGATAAGCATTGATTATTTGTCAATTAATGATTTTATCCAATCATAGTGCTTTTTTTTCCTAAAATGAAACGTTGAGACCAAAATGTTGATATAAAAATAAGAATCAAGTAAATGGTAGACGCATTTTTTGATGTTATACATTTTTTATTCCGTGGTAGCAGTGGAATCATGCTCATACTACTCAATGTTCTATATGCAGATAAGGATAAGGTAGGGTTATCTTTTGAATGTCAAAAGGATGAAATATTTAGGATCCAATTCATCGACCACAAATGGTCCAAACAAATGCAATCCCTCGCGATATTGATACGTAGATTCATGTGCCTCCATAAAAAGTTCCTGGCCAGTGCTACTCCACCGTCCAAAATCAATAACTTTTTTTTGACATCACCACCTGACATGAACTTCGATGCTCTTGCAAATGGCAGCATGAAATTGGACTTGAATCCATGACAAAGATTAACGGCAACCCCATGGATTCGTGTATAATTTACAAATCTAAATTAGGTCAGATTTGTACCGAATCTGGTATATCATGGTGCATGCATGTGATGTTTATCTCTGCTCAAAATGATACGTTATCTTCCAATACGTAATAAACAAAATACCAAACCAGGAAACAAAACGGCCCACTGTTGTTTGATTTAAGCATTATCGTATACGATATTTAAGGCTAACATCTAAGACGACTTTTTAACGGTTTATAAATACCAATCAAAACCAATGTAGATGTATTCACCGGGTGACGTGGGGCATGAATTATATAGTGAGTCGAGTTCATAAAATATTTTAATTAAGATGTGTTCACTCACGGTTAACGACCGTTAAATCTTTAACGGTTTAATGACGTGGCACGATAAATATATAAAATTAAAATTACATCATTTTCACGTAGATAATACGTGGATTAAGTTTTGGTCACTTTCCTTTCATATTTGTAAACTTTTGGTCACTTACGTTATTTTTTATTAAGTTTGGTCACTTAAAAATGAGGTACTTGGAGACCGATGTGATGGTGGTGGTCTGATAGATTGTGAAGGCCACAAGGGTTAATGGTGATTCATAAGGATCTAGAATCAAATGATTATTCTGGAGCAAAAACAAAGATTCGACATTGGAAATCATGGATTTTGGATTGAGTTTGGTGGATGAATTCACAAATCTAATTATCGGGTTGTTTGGATCTATTGATTATGTTACACCATATGTGCTTTGTCAAGAGAAAATCACCACGAATAGTGATATCTGGTTATCGAGTTATTTGGATCCACTGGTTTTTCTTATTGTTCCTTGTTGGATTTGGCATTTTGCAATCTCAATGTTCGGCAATTGAATTTTAGTTTGTAGAATTGAGATTGCCCATCTTCATTTTATCTCTAGATGCCTACCCTCTCATTCTTCTTTGAACTTGTGGCCTTATTATTTGTTATCGGAAGTTGGAAATCTTTCATTATTCTTGAAAATATAGCATGAGTCTTTGAAAGAAGTCAAATGTAACAATGGAGCAATGGAACAAAGATGTCGGGAGAAGAAGTCGGGAGAAGATGAACAATAATGGGGTTGGGAAGAAAACCTATTAAAAATATATAAATTGAAATGGTATCCCTAAACTAATTTGAATTTACAAAAAGACTCATAAACAATATTTTTGTCTAAAGTGTAGGGGTTAAAATAAAAATTAAACCATTTTATTAATGGACAACTTCATCAAACTAACAACATTCAAGTCCAAGTGACCAAAACTTAATCTACGTATTATCTACGTGGAAATGATGTAACTTTAATTTTATATATTAATGTGTCACGTTAGTAAAACCGTTAAAAGTTTAACGGTTGTTAACCTTGAGTGATCACATCTTAATTAAAACGAAACGAAAGTGACCGAATCTTAATTAAAAAGAACCAAAGTGACCAAATCTTAAGTTTTTTTAATTTAGTGAGAAAAAATATATAAAACTCAAGCGAAAGTGGTCATTTTTGTAGTTTACCCAAATTTTATATGAATATTATGCGTTACTTATCAATATCATGTGTGGAATAAACCTGTCCCAGCCTTATGTAAAACTATTTTCTCATTTAGATTTATCCAGACCGAGCATATACTAGTTAATAATATAAATACATTGTATTATTTATATTAAATATATAATATGAAGTAATAAAATATTTATGTTTTGGCCATCTAAGACTAAGGTTCTAATCCCGTTAATGCAATCCCATGATAAATTTGTAATGGTAGAAAATACAAAATGGTATTTTTAAAATATCATACTATAATACTTATAATAGTGATATATGTATAAATAATATATTATTAAAAATATAAATAAAAAATTTATGAAAAATACAATATAATTTTGAAAAGCTTTCTTACCAAAAAAAAGCCAAAAAAATTTAATGTATATTTTAAAAGAACTTTGGGTAAATTACATATTTAGTACCTAAACTATTATTAGTTTTAGTATGTTTTACTACCTAAATTTTCTATTTTTTCAAAATCACACCTACAAGTTTGATTTTTGTTTCATTTTAGTACTCACCGTTAAAAACTTTAGTTTTTGTTTCATTTTAGTATCTCTTTCAAAATTTAAAGTTAAATTTTGGAAGAAATGAAAATTTAGGTACTAAAACGGATCAAAACTTATAGTTTAGGTACTAAACGCGTTAAGTTTTTAACGACAAGTATTAATATGAAATGAAACCTAAACGTCGGATATGATTTTGAGAAAATTGAAAATTTAAATATTAAAACGGATCAAAACTGATAGTTTAAATACTAAATACATAATTTATCCAAGAAATTTAATACTAGAAAATTCCAAGCATGGCCGTTTTGGGTCATTGGTGAGCCGAGGGACGGGCATTCGTTATGAGAGGGACTGAAGGCGCAAATTTACCGAATTCTAGCCCTTAATACGAAATCAACACGGAAACGACTTCCATATATACTCGCGCGAATCAAACCGAAAATACACAAAACAGAAGTGGAAAAGATCCAAACTTTAAACTCACAAAAGAAAATCCAAAACCTTTGCATTTTAGGTATTTAAAGCCAATCCTCAATCCCTTCTCCGTCAATTAAATTCCCAAAACGCGTCTCGCACCTTCCACCTACAACAACAACAAACGAAACATTCCTCTCCTTTATTTTTGTGGAAATCCCAGACCCCATACTTCTTATTTTCCTGGCCTTTTTCCCCTTTTTTGTTGTAATAAAAATCATTGATCTTTTGGTATTTTTGTGAATGGTGGAAACGATTCGGAGCTCTAGTAGTTTGATGCTCCCCCTTTGTAAATCCAGGGCGAGCGTACTCCTCCCTGTTTCCGCCGCTTCTGCTTTCGCATTCGGTTCTTGCAAAGAAGGCTGGTACTACCGCTGCATCGGCCTTGATCCATAAACAAACAACAAATCCCTCTGAAAAAATCGCAATACTTTTCCCCACCGATAACCCAGATTTTGTTATTATTCATTCAATTCTCTTGGTTTAGATTCTTTTTTTTATTATTTTTGGGTTTTATTTTAATTAAAAAAAAGAGTCGAAAGAATGTTGCTTTACAAGCAGAAGAAGAACCAGGGTCCCAAGGGAAACCGGCTCTTGATCAGCGTCACCGTTCTCGGCAGCGCTGGGCCGATCCGTTTTGTGGTTAGCGAGGAAGAGATCGTTGCTGCTGTCATTGATACTGCTTTGAAATCTTATGCTCGTGAGGGTCGCCTCCCTGTTCTCGGCTCCAATCTTAATGATTTCCTCCTCTATTGCCCCAGTGCTGGATCGGGTGGTATGTTTTACTCAAATCCAACTTGAATACGAAATTAACAGTCTTTTACTCGGGAAAATTTCGATTTTTTTAAAATTTTGGTGTTTGGGTATTTTTCACAGCAGCACTGAGTACATGGGAAACTATTGGATCGCAAGGGTCGCGTAATTTCATGCTCTGCAAGAAGCCGAGGGCTGAGAAGATGGAAAACGATGGAAAATCAGCCGAACCGATTACTAGGAAGTCACCTGGGAACTGGAAGGCATGGCTTAACAAATCCCTTAACCTTAAGATTTCCTCCCATTAAATACATTATGTTCTATTGGGTTAAGCTTTATGTATAAATAAAGTTAGACCGTCATTGAAGATGGCCATTGTAGAATGTTGTCGGTTTTTATGTTTTCCACCTTAATTTTTCTCATTTAACTGAGAAAAGACCTGCAGTAATAAATAATGCTTGTTTTCCAGTGTTTTCATATTCCAATAAAGATTGAACATTTATGGTGTGCTTAATCTCTTTGTTCTATTGTTTAATGGCTTTGATGAAGAATCTTTGTTGGGTTTAGGCTTACATTTTCAGTAGCTTACAAGTTACATGATATTGCAAGTTGCTTTCCAGGATGCTGCTTCTATTTGGCTTTAGGGCACCTCAATTGGACTGCATCATTCAGACTATGATGATTTAAGAATATCATTTCAACTTTATCGCCTGATCGAATCGATTCTTGTTAGGTGATGATGTTTATTGACCTTAGACCAAAATCAAACCAGCGTTGGTCAACAGCTGGTCTTAGATTACCATTCCATTATTGAGGAGCTGATTGTTAGCCACTTTTTTTTAGCATCTTTTGACGCATTTGGATGGCTTGTTTAGTGTCACTTGCATTTGTTTATTCATGTTTGGTCTCATGTCATTAGTTCAAAGGCGCAAGTTGATATGTTTAGCTGTGCATGGTAACCTCCCTCAATGGGATTCGTGAGATTAAGAAACAGGTCGTAAGTGTCGAGATTCGAAACCTTCAGCCTTGTGATTGTACTAATCGATTAGGCAAAGAGTCCCCACCAAGCACTTGTGCCTATCATATAGTACACGATGAGTTACGGACATCACGGCACGGTCTTTCCCTCAATGGTTATGTTCTGTTCTTTCGTTTTCTTGTAGTCGTTTTCGTGTGAACATTTTGCAGTAGCGAAGGGACCATCATGAGCGATCGGTTGTGTTGAAGATGCTATGCCATACAACAATATCTAGTTATAGATGTTGTTGGTAAACGTGGAAGATACAAAAAGATCTTTTCGAGAATCAAATTAGCTTTTCGGCAAACAATGGTGACCGTTCAAAATTGCTTAGGGTATTTGACATCGAATATTCTTCTTCTACTATATTGAATGTCTATCCTTTCCGCTTAAGGGACGAACTTATAAATTTTAGGAGAGTTGAAAATAGATTATTAACAAAAAATATATAAAAGAAAAATTAAAATATTACGATCCGCCCTCTAATTTTTGAAGATGTAAATTGGAGTACATGTATTCACACACCCCATTTTTGTTGGTTGAGATAAGTAATTATGTTTTAAAACAAATGGACAGAGATCTATGTATTGGTTTTAGACATTTATCCAAAATATCATTGAGAAAGTTTTACAGCCATGATCTCAAACCCATGCAAGTACGAAGGCTTGATACAGGCTTACTAAATAGGCTCATTATAATCTCCCAAAGAAACCTCAATAATGTTAGGTCGTAGGCCTAGAGCCCACCAAACAAACACTGTAAAAGGCACAATGTGGCATCAAGACCAACACTTGTAAACACATAATTTCAGCAAATTTTCTTTAGATATTACAGCAGGAAAAAAAATGTACTTTGATAGGATGTTAGAAAATTTATTTTTACAAACCACAGTGTAAGTAGGAAGACGTGGACAGTACTTTGTGTCCTTGGAAGACATAATGTGTATGGCGGAAAATACATGAAAGATATTATATATTTCATGCTTAAATGCAGATTACCTCCTAAACTATATCATTTATATCGAATTGTCTCTTAAAATATTTGTGAATAACACCATCCCCAACTCCTTTGTTTTCCCTTCTCTAGCTTCTTTTATTCTCTCCACAAATCTTCGAGATCGGTTCGTATTTTTGTGAAATTGATTATCAAGGAAACGGAGTTAGCTAATTGGGAACTCGATATAGCTGTCAAAGCCATTGAACCGGGTGTTGTTTTTGCTAAACAAAATCTTAGGTCCTTCTCGTTTGAATCTTGTGTGTAGAACAATGCTTGAAGGCTTCAATCTCCGTGCTTTTGGCCTTGGCAAAGAGGTTAAACCCAGAAGAATAGACTCGAGAAAGCATTTCAATGAATTCAAGTCCCCGAAATCAGCAAATCCAAAGCTGTTTTTAGCTCGAAATCTATGTTCTTCTTTCAGGGAATTCATTAGGACCAAGTATCTCAACCTTGTTTGTTCATGCAAAAATGGAGTGCTCGTTCTTCGGGAGTGCAAATGTCCGGTCACACAACTATAATAAAAAAAAAATTAAACCATTTTTTTCTTTGAACAAAAAGGGGAAATATGGTTGCACGCCTACCTTCTCGATATTCATTTGTCAATTTCTTTTTTTTCCTTAATAATTGTACGGAAATATAAAAGTAAAGGTGAGTTGAAATGGGATGTGACGTGATGTCCTAATGGCAAAACATGAGTGAAGGAACGCTTTGGCAACGCGTTAGTCAAATATAGAATTTCATGTCACAATTATAAGATTAAGAAAGCATATTATATATATTAAAGATAAGGGTAGACTAAGCATAATACATAAATTATCAGTATTGATCCTTTTTGTAATTAAACTTTTATTTTTTTTTAAAGTACACCTAAAGTTTAGTTTTTATTTCATTTTAGTATATCGTCCGTTAAAATATTTAACGTGTTTAGTATCTAAACTATCATTTTGATTCATTTTAGTATCTAAATTTTCAATTTTTTTTAAAAATTTAACGTTAAATTTGTACTAAAATGAAACAAAAAGTAAAGTTTTTAATGGTGAGATACTAAAATATAACAAAAACTAAACTCTTGGTGTGATTTTGAAAAAAATTAAAAGTTTATGTGCTAAAACAGATTAAAACCAATAGTTTAGGTATTAAACATCTAATTTAACCTAAAGATAGATTTTTTTTCATTATTAATAATACGGGTAAGAACAAGGTAAGGGTGAGCAAAATTCGACTTGACTCGAAAAATTTAATTTTTTTCAATTTCGAGTTATTCGATTCGAGTTATTTGAGTAAACTCAAATTATAAATTCGGTTTTCGAGTTCGAGTTGAGTTGTAATTTTGAATTTTTAAGTTAGAAAAACCAAAAAATTGACCCAGTACTTTGACAGTTTTACGATTTAATTCATGATTTCATTATTTCTTCAAGTTATCTTTCATTTTAAGTATATTTTTTTTATCAAATTTGAACTGCATGCTCTTAAACCATAGTAGAATACATGTGTACTTTCAATTCCTATTTTTTATAACAATTTTTTTATCTTTCAATTTTTCATAATCACCTTATTTCTTCAATTCTTCATTTATTTTAAGTCTGTTTTTTTACAAAATTTGAGCTACATGCTCCTAAACTATAATAAAATACATGTGTACTTGCAATTCCTCTTTTTTATAATAAATTTTTTATTTTTCAATTTAGTCCTTTAATTTTTCATAATCTCCTTATTCCTTCAATTTGTGATTTATTTTAAGTCATTTTTTTATCAAATTTGAATCACATGCTCATATACCACAATAGAATACATAGATAACTTTAATTGTTATTTTTTTTTACTAAAGATATACTATCTTTTTTGTTTTGTCCCTTAATTTTACATTTTACTCAATTTGGTTTTTTTATTACAATTGTTTACAAAAAAAAATTTCTTCTCATCATTTCCTTGACTTATTTATACCCTCATCAATATTTTATCCTCAAAATATTTTCTTTAAGATATTATATTATGAATATATTTCATAAGTTTATATTGTATTTGATATATTAAATAACGTTATAATAAGAAAGAATATATATATATATATATATATATATATATTATGGTTAGGTAAAGTCAAAAAAATTGGAATAAATCATTGTCATAATATTATAAATAATTATAATAAAATTAGTACAGAAACTCGAATAACTCAACTCGAATTTCTTAAACTCGACTCGAAAAAAATTCAAGTTAAGTTCGAGTTGTAAAATACGACTCTTCAACTCGAATTACTCAAAAAAATTTGACTCGACTCGATTGAATGTTTACCCCTAGTACAAGGTAATATCTGTTCAAAGATAAACCTCAACCTTTTGATATTGACGCTCACACCCCTGATATTTATGGTACTCGAACTCGGATCCTTGAGAAATAACAACAATTCTTTTATCAAGGAGGTCACTTGGTTTGTGCTTAAAGATAAATATTTAAATACGAATCGTTACTGCTTTTAACTTTATGATCAGATTTTGTAGATAGTTATTGATTTTTAACGATTTTAAATTTTTTGAATTACAAAAAATGTATTGGATAATGATCCGTGTATAAATGATCATGTTGTCATAACCATTTTTTTATAAAACAATCTAATATTATTTTTAAAAAAACAATTATGACTTTAAATTGGAAAAAATGGGTGATTTTGAATTGATTTGAATAAAATTAAAAAGAGTCGCCATCAACCTTTGGGTTAGGTAGGTCGAGTACCTAAAAACGTCTTTTAAAACAATTTTAAGAAAAATCATTTTTTAAGACAAGATTCGGTCTGCGTTACAAAAGATTCATTTAAATGGATTCGGGAGTCGATTACGTGCGGGGAAGGGTAAACACCCCCGCAACGCCCAAAATTGGTACTGTGTCGCTTACACATCGTTGTAAATGGTGGAATTTATGAGTCGAATATAAAGTTAAAATGTGATCTATTTATCGAACGTTGATTAATTTGCTTCGAATTAAATAATTAGAGAAAATTCTTTAACTCGAAAAGAAATCTCGAAATTAGCAATCCTCCATCGGGAAAGCTAACTCGACTATTTTCTCATCTATAAAGAATATTTCCCTCTTGATAAAATGTGAATCGAATATAAATAAAATTGATGTTTGCATACATCAAAATAAATTGATTAACTAAAACGTGAATTGAATACAAATGCAAACTTTGAAATTGACATTTACATAAAATAAAATAAATTACTATTTAAAATAACACACATTGCATCATTTGCACAAATTAATTAGTGAAATAAATATTTACAACAAATAAAATTAAGCATATTTAATTACATATGGCACAAATAAATACATAACATGAAAAATGTACATACATAGTGAAATAAATACAAATGAATATTACAACCCAAAATAAAATAGTCATAAAGTAAGTGTTTAATAATTACAATGATTAATATGGTAATAACAACTTAAAGGGCAA